AAAAAAAGAAAATATAACCAAAAAGATAAGAGACTCAGAAAACCAATCTAGAAAGTCCAACGCTCAACTTATAGAAAATTGAAAAAGAGAAAACAGAACAAAAGAAATTCTCAAAGAAACATGAGAATTCAGAGCTAAAGACTAATAGTCCACAGATTGAATGACCTCACTAAGTGCCTAGAATATCAGATGGGGAAAAGACTTCTACCAAGCCACACCTCTATAAAATTTTAGACCCTTAATGAATAAGGAATCCTAGAAAGAGGGGAGAATAAACAGCTATCCACAAAGGGACAAGAATCAGGCAGAGGGTTAAATTTGGTCTAAGCGCCACAGTTTGCCAACCTCTGGGCCAGAGTTCTACATCCAGAAAAAGTACAAGACAACCAAGATATTTGGGGACATGGAAGAATTTAGAAGTTTGTTTCTTTTTTTTAGAAAATTAACTGAGAATGCATTCCAATAAAATAATAAGGTAAGCTAAAGTGAAAACATAAAGTCCCAAATACAGTCACAAAAATAATAAAAAGAATCCTAGAATGAATGACAGCTATGCCTGATAGAAATCTAATGCCAGTCTGAGCTTCCTTCTAATTTAAAAGGAATATCCTGATGCACTCCTGGACCCCAAGGAACTTCATTGAAGTTGAAATGCTGTATATTCACCATCCTGCCATTCAGGTGTGTCAATTACACGAACCAAACAAGACCTTCATGGGATATAGGCCCATTTTCTTTCTGGTGCTCTGAGATCTCATCGCCTCATCCAATGGCTACTTGTCATGACGGCCCCAATCATTTTGCCCCTAGTGATTGTTTACTGCCTCTTGACTGCGCCTCCCTGGGCATCCCTCAACTCCACTGAAATAATTTCATTAGCAGCCCCTCCCACCAGCATTGCTGGCCAAGAAAGAAAATCCCAAAACAGCCTTTTGAAAAATTATGGCGCTCTCCTCATCAATCAGGTTCTCAGAGTGAGAGTGATAGAAGAGGAAGCTGGACCTTCTCAGGGGACAGCGAGAGGGTGGGTGGGAGGTGGGGTACACAGGAGAGATACAATCAGGAATTATGTCTCCTCAACATGTCTCATTCCTACCCCAAGGTGAAGACAATGAGTCTAGCTTGCCACGTCATGTGATGTGGACCAGCATTTGAATTAGCCAACCCAAGCAACATTAGACTCAACGGGGATGCCCAAATTAGCACACTGAATTGAAGAACCTCGGGCCAGGGCTCCACAGTAATACGTCTAACCTGACCTAAAATTTTATTCTAGATGAAGGAACCTCAACGTCTGACCTCACAATTTCTCCCCAGATTTTTGATAGCATGAATTAGCAAATTCCTTCAATTCTTTCTGGGATAACTCTTCTGTTTCTTGCTCTAGAAATCCTAAGCTTGAGCTTGCTGTTTATTCCCATTTGTTCATCAAATACTTAAGTGCCAGGCATTGTTCTAGGGACTGGGGACAGAGCAGTGCACAAGACAGTGCCTGCCCTCAAGGAACTCATATTTTATTAGAGGAGAACAGAAGAAATAAACAAGAAACATGTGATATGGATGGTGCCATGTATAGTAAATATCTCTTTCTTTAATTAACCTAATTCTGTCAAAGCAACCATCCCACCATAAGGTCTCCTCATTCCTCATCCCCTTTAAATTGTTGATGGCAGCTACCATCCAGTCACCCAAGTTTTGCCTTGGTGAGCAGGTGGCTGTTTAGCGACTGTGAGTACTGTGGGTGGCTGGCATGCCAAATCATGGTCTCATCTCTGCCCACGAACCAATCCCAGACTCCCTAATTTCCTTCAGGGGCTGTTGCCTACAACCTTCTTCCTGGTATAATTTCCATATCAATTAAAGATCTTTGCAAGCTACAGAAATTTATTCTAGCTAACCAAAGCCAAAAAGGAACTTAGTGAAAGGAAGCATGGTGACTCAGGAATTAGAAAGAAGAGCTGATCCAGCAGGTCTTGGGAGGGACAGGATGCAAGGAGTCTCAGTAGCAGAACCTTATGAATAGTCTCTTTAGGATGCTGAGGACAGAATGCTCTGCTCCGTTTGCCTTAAGCTACTTTCATCTCCTGCTGACGGATGTGATTCCCAGGAGAGAGTCTGATTGGCTGTTTTGGGTCATGTATCTGTTTTGAGGGTGGGGCCTCATTGTGATTGGCAATTTCACTAGGACCATATAGAATGAGAGAAGGCAAAATGGGATGATATCAAAGGAGGGGAGAAGGGATTCCGAGCAGTGAAAAGCAAAAATTCCCATAGGACTTCGGAGCTTGTGGAGCTCTAGCCACAGCCCCTACTGCATTTCCCTCCTTGGGGATATCACCAGCTGGACCCTTTTTACTCTTCAAGGCCCCAGCTCAGGTAACAGCCCCTCTCTGCAGCTCTCCTTGATGCCATCCAGGCGGAATGAATTGTCCCTCCTCAGTGGGCCCTTGTGCTTTATACACACACATCTTTTATAGCCGCTCACACATTTGCTTTTCTGTCCATTGGGACCAACGCAGTCTTTTCATCTTGGCAATCAACACAGTGTTAGAACTCTTAATGTTTGCTCAATTGAATGTGTGGAATTCATCTCTCTCTTTGTAAGGACTTGGTGGGCATTAATTTGCACCTGGTTGGGGTATCGCCAGGCAATGCTGAGGTGTTTGCTGCTGCTCTGGCAACGCCTCCATTTGTGTTGCAAGACTCGCTGGGAGCACCAGAGCTGCTTTGTTTTGTTATTGAGATGAACTCTTTGTTCTTACATTTATCTTGCTGGCTTGTCTTCCAAGGGTTGTCATTTCTCTTTGTTTAAGGAAATCCAATTGTTTGTTTAGCATTCTGGCTGACAGGTAGGCACCCTACATGATTCTCAGTATGCTGACTTCCTGGATATTACTTACGTATAGTCTAAGAACTTATGAATTTGCAAATTTTATATCCCTAGATTAAGACTCTGAGGCTTAGAGCAAAGACTATCTCCAGAATTGCCCAAATCTGGGAGTAGTTTCAGCTCCACGATTTTATTGAGTTAGTTCGAATTTGGTGTTACTCCCTGGCCTCACAATAATGGACCTTTCCGCCCACCTCACCTCCAATTAAATAGACATTTCTGGATTGACTATAAGCAGTTCTAGAAACACCCTAATTTCTGGAAACACAGCAGTGAAAGGGATATGCTGAGTTTCTGCCATGCCCATTTACCCTCTTAAGACCTTCCTGATAGAACTCAGGTCTTCCTTTGGGAATTCACCCTTCCCTCCCCTGTTGCACAGCCATCATGGAGTTGTTCAAATACTCCTGTCCCCTAGATCCGAGGGTGGGCCCAAAGGAAAGGTCGGTCAGCTTCCATATTATCCTCTTTGTGACTAAAGATTGTTCTCGGTTGGCTGAAGACTTTTGTGCAGTGACAGTGGGGTGTTGTGCCTCCTTTTTTTTCTCCCAGTATGAATGAGGAAGTATGAGGCCCTGGTTACATTCGATCATCTTAGCTTCACTAGAGGAGTCAGCTTAGGAACAAAAGTGACGCTGAGAGAGAGCAGGATAGAAAGAACTGCAAAGAAAACAGAGCGAGAGTCACAATCCAGCCGTGCCTGAAAGCTACCATGCTTCCGGAATCTTCGCTGACTTGAGCCATAACCCACTTTTTTATTTAACATGGAAAATTGGTTATTTTATTACTTGCAATGGAAAGGACCGATGTATAAGTATACGTTGCCACATCGAAAGTCGGTATCTGGGATATAGATGTAGATCTTCTTTTCTTTACTCATTCGACAACTTTTATGGAACGCTTACTTCATGCTGAGCACTGAGGATACGATGATGACTATCCTACTCTCATGGAGTTGAGAATCTGAAAAAAGAGAGAGAGAATCAAATAGATATGCATTTTTTAAAAATGCTCATAAACTGCGATGAATGATATGAGGAAAAAGAACAGGATGCCTTCAAGGCCTGGAAGAGACTTCTGCGGCAGACACCAAAATTTCAGGCTTCCTTGCTCGTTGGGAGGTTATCCCTGGAATGAAGGCAGCAGCCCAGTCAGGAGCTATGATCCCAGTCCCCTTTGCATCTGAGTGATGTCACGTGATCACTTTTTTCCCAGTGACCACTTGACCATTGGTGTTCCACTGCCCTGCTCCCTTGATGCTGCTTAATAACCCCTGTACTTCACTGTTTGCTGCTTTGCCGTATCATTGGCTGATCCCCCACAAAAATGACGGGAAGAAACACTGTCATCTTTGCTTTGTGATGATTTTCATCTATCCCACTCCAGCAGGGGATGGGATGACCCCAGGTCCAGTCCCAGGAAGAGAGTTCCGATTGGTATAAGCCATCAGGGGCTTACCATCCTCTTGGCCATAGTAATTGGGCCTGGCAACTCAGATCTAAGCCAGTTATCACTTGCCATTTTCCCAGGCACAAGATCTCAGATAAACCAATCGGGACTCTTGTTGGTTGAGGGCGAAGTCTCTCTCCTGAATGAGAACAAGGAAGCAAGGAGCCCCAGGAAGCCACTACCTGGCGCTCATGTCTTCCATGAGTAAAGCCAGACTGAGAATAAAGAGGACAAATCCAATACATGGAGAGAGAGGAGGTAACTGGATGATCACAGAGAAACTGAACCTGAGTCCTGATCGAGCCTGGCCAAAATTCCTTATGATGTTTGAGACACTTTTTTTCTGTTCTATAATAGGTAGAGTATAAATATGCTCCAAGAAAACAAGTAAACTGTCTCTCTCGCTTACCCAATGCCTAGAACAGTACCTCTCACAAGGCAAGAACTCAATAATATTTACTTCATGAATAAATAAGCTGAAAGTAACCTGATCAATATTGTTAATGATATGCATTTTAGGAATTCATTATGTCTAAAAGCAAGGGCCACCTCTATGGAACATCATTCCTGCCCTCAGATGTTTCCAGGACAGTGATCAACATGTGTGTAAGTAAAGGGTTGGCAAACTACGGCCCGTGGGCCAAACTCAGTCTGCTACCTGTCTTTGTAAATAAAGTTTTATTGAAACACAGCCATACTCTTGTTTGCATATTGTCCTTGGCTGCTTTTGAGCTACAAGGGCAGCATGAAGTAGTGTGACAGACCATATGGTACATAAAGCTTAAAATAAGTACTATCTGGCTTTTTGTAGAAGAAGTTTGCCATCTCCTGGTGTAAGTTAATTTGAAGTTATCCCTGAGGATGGCACCTTTCTAACAGTCTGTGATAAATTGTCCAGTGGCCACAAATTCCTCTCATCTCAGGGTATAGGGTATAGGTTCCTTTGTAACATGACTTTGTCATTTCCCCCTTTCAGAGGCAGAATCTACTTCTTCACCCATTGCATCTGGACTGTTTGTGACTTTCATCGACCAGTAGAATGTAGCAGAAGGGCTATTGTGGGTGGGTTTCGGCACAAGAGCCTTAAGAGATGGTGTAGCTTCTGCCCTTGCCGCCTTGGAACACCAAGACCGCATGTAAGAAAGCTGATCAGGTCAAGTGGAGGATGAGCTGTCATATCTCTCATCCTGGTAGAAGAAGAGAATCAGGGTATCCAGCTGAAGCCAGCACCAACCATCGGACAAGGGAGTGGGGCCATCTTGGACCTTCCAGCCCAGTGAACCCTCCAGCAATAACAGCCTCACAGGTGAAATCAGCAGAGGAACCACACAATAAATCCCCAGAATTGTGAGAAGTAGTAAATTGCTGTTGCTCAAGCCACTGTGTTTTGGGGTGGCTGTCACCAGCAATGAATAACGGGAATCCAGACTCTTTCACACCTGGAATCTTGCTGAGAGCCCCAGCAGGTGCAGGGCCAAGCCTGAGCGTGCCTTTGAACTGCAAGGGCTCCTGTAGATTCCCATGCATTCTTCTCATAGCTCAGTTGAGAAAACAGAGGCCCAGGAGGTGCAGTGGGTTGATTACTAGCAGAGCCCAAAGCCCAATCTCTCACCCCTCTCTTTGGGATTCTTTCCTCCAGCCTGTGTCACAGGCTCCTTAAGTTCCGAAGGAGCAGCATTCCTGAGCACTAGGACATTGGTGCTGTCAGATCATGGATCCCAGGAGAGAGGAAGTTTGCAGAGTTTTAGGAAGAAGAAGCCCCCAGGGTTGGGTTCTGGTTACCTGGATACCTCCAGGGAGAGCATCGCAGCAGGCTCTGCAAGACTAAAGCACAAAGGGTCAGAGCACGCAGCTGAGGTCAGCTTAATGTATCCATAGAAAGGGACACCAACATCCAGAATGCTGGGCCTCAGGAATGAGTAAACAGTATCAGGCCTGTGCCTAAACTCACCACTGGGAGGCAGCATGGAGCAACCGCATCAGACCCATCCAGCTTCTGACCCATCCTGTGAATTGGGTAGTCGGTTGTGTGGCCTTGGCTGGTTACTTCTTTGGCAAGACACTGAGCCTAAGTTCCATCAACTGTAAAATGGAATAATACCCACTTCATGCATTTGCAGTGGAAGTTAGTATAAAACCCCTAGAACAATCTAGGAGATGTCGCATGAATGGTGGCGATCACTACCACCAGCACAGACTAGAGATGCAGACTAAAGGAGGCCCTGCCCTGGGCCCCATGCATTAGAGGACCCCACATATCACACACACGCGCACACACACACACACACACACACACACACAAGCACATACATACACACATATACACACAAACACACACATACATGTACACATGTACACACAGGCATGCGCATACATACACACACAGACACACACCCTAAATTTACTGAAAGGCCTGTGAGTGCCTCTATCCCTTGGCCCTGGGGCAGTACCATCCCCCACTTCGAACATCCGCTCTGGTAACTAAGACCCTTCAGGCCCCAAGGAAACACTTCCTTGCATTTCTCGCCTTGTGCTTTAGAGACGAAAGGCTGTCAGGAGGGCTGTGGGCTGTGCTGTTTGCCCCACATCAGAGGTGGACCCCGCTTCGAAGGGAGGACTTGAGCAGCAGGAGCACTTAAGGACGGACGAGCTCACGAGCTCATGCTATGGAGGTCCTTCCCTCCATAGCATGAGTGCGCTACGTCTTGCACAGCAAAATATCACTTCCCATTCGTTCCAAACATCCATTTTCTTGTGTCTGTTCATTTCTAAATCAGGGTGTCTGGAGGCTGGGGAAAGAGTGTGATATGCGCCACAGTCTCACAGGGTGATAGGAACATCGGGGGCATCAAGCAATGCATATTACTCACGAATTCCTATAAATGTACGTCTACACATATCGTGTGTGTCATGAGAGCAGTTTTGTACACTGGCAACTAAATGACATTGAATGCCAGCATTGCAAATAGTTTTCTCTTTACTGAAACATTTGGTAAGATGTAACTAAATTTCAACAACAAAAAAAACTTTTTAAAAGTCGACTATTCAACTAATTTTATTAAAAGCTTTTATATTCATTAGCTGTAATTTATATTTTACCTTTTAGTTTTCATTGAGAATTTAGAGGATTTTAGAAGTCTTTTGAAATCATTAAAATAATTTTAATTTTTTCCTCTTTAGTTTAATTTTTGTTTTTTATGAAATACTTAGATTTTATACACTTTAAATGCAATTACGTTTTTAAAATCTTTTAGGTCATTACTATCAGAGGAACACAAATTACATGAAAATGTGATTGTAACATAATTGGAGATTTTGCTGAAATAAAAGCATGAAAAACGAATTTGATTAAATAAAATGTATAATAATTTATGAAGTTTATATTTATGAGTTACTCGAACATTGCCAGCCCATCAACAAAACACTCAGATATATGCAATAATAATTCAACTCAATAGATTTGGACACATTTCTGACTTTCAGTCATATGGAAACTGGCTTTCCATATATTCTTTAGTTTGTTGTTAGGAAAGTATATTTAGATAGAAGAATCGAACGTGCTTGATTGATGGCTTTTAAACATTTAGACATACGGCGTGAGGATCCCCAGCCCCCACAAATGTTGAAATGTTAGGGGCGAACCTGACCACCACCAATCAGAACAGGCTCTTGAGGTCTCCAGGAAAGAAGTGGAGGGAGGGTCCAGGCAGGAAGGGGCTTGGTAGGGAGCCCCCAAATCTGTGCTAACTAGAAATACTGCTACTGACAGCAACTAAAGAGTCACAACCATGGGACTTGCTGGCTCCTCCTCTCAGCACTTTGCAGGCATTGTTTTATTAACTCCCCCAACAAAGTGATGAGCCGGATGCTACCATTATCCATCCCGCTGTACCGATGAGGAAGTGGAGACTCTGGGAAGTGAGGTCATTTGCCCAAGGGTACCCAGTAAGCTGGTGGGGAAGCCAGGCAGCCTGACCCCGGAGGCCATGGCACTGCCCCAGCCAGGACACTGTGGCACTCAGGAGGAAAGGGGTCCCTCACAGTAGGTGGGGCCTGCTTGTCCCCCGACACTCACAGGCACTTACAAACACATGCTCCCCAGCAAAACGCGCAGGCCTTGTGCTGCATATGGCACCCGCTTGTACCCACGTGGCCATCCCTGCTCCCCAGAGCCCTCGCCCGCCTTCTCCCTCTTTGGTCAGCAGTGGAGCATTTGTGGGATGAGAGTCCATTGCTTCCTCTCCCTCCTCATGACTGCTGCACCCATGAAGGCTCAGTGACGAGGGTGGTGGCCCAGTGCACTCATACCCCTCCTCAGCCTCCACCACCCTCCGAGTTCGTCCCAGCACAGCCCCTTCCTGTCACCTGATATGTGGGGCCATGCCATCTGGGAGCCTGCGGTCCCCTGCTCACTGGCCTTCTCTTCCTTGCCGTGTCCTTCCTATTTGGTCTCTTCTCAGCAGCCAGGAGCATCTTGTCCAAACACGGACATGAGCAGGACACCTCCTTCTTTCAAACTGCTCACGGGCATTCCATTATTCCCTGGACAAAGACCAACAGGATGTCACTGTACATCTTTGCAAGGATGTTGGTGACCATATGAAAGGTGACAACAGGCTCACACCAAGGATCGTAGTTCTTTACTCTCCATCAGAAACAGGAGAACCCGACTGTGTGACGACAGCTGTACGAAGCCTATTCCCACTGGAGGGACAAGCTTCCCTAATATTTGGGTGCCCATGGAGCTCCCCACTGGAATGAGCTGCCTCATTCCCATGGGGGCTCCCAGGTCCTCTCCAGTATTCTGCAAGCTCTAGGTTGCCTGTCCATCAGGCTCAAGCACAAAGGCTTACTGTGGGGTGAACGGGAGGTCAAGGTCCCCGGGTCAGCTTCTCAGTAGATTCTACCCTTCGAGGCCCATCCATCACCACCCCAGCTACCCCAGGCTCCTTTCAGCCCCACCTGGGTGCTAGGTTCATCAGACCGCCGGGCCTTTGCACAGGCTGTCCCTCTATTTAAACTCTTTCCACTTCCCTCTTCATCCAGTTAAATTCTTAAGATCCCTGCTAAACCATTTCTTTCGCAGAGAAGCCCTCACTGACTGCCAGCCCAGATATGTTCTCATAGCTCCATGGACCATTCTGTCAAGCTACTTACCTCTATTTGTAAATTTCCACTCAGTCGGTAGTTACTAATGTCTGTCTCCCTACTGGACTCTCAGTCCCGTGAGGACAGGAATCATACCTGGTTCTGCTCTCCGTGCATCCCCAGCACAGAGCAAGTCCTCGATACAGTCACTGAGGAACAGGCAAAGAATCCTTCAGGAATAAGGTGATCCTATTTTGCTGGGAGAGTCTCAGGATTCTTCAGGATCCGATGGAAGCAACAGAAGTGGTGAGATCCAGCAGATTGCGAGCTCCCAGCTCCGTGCCTGGCACGCTGTCAGAGTTTAGTAAGTGGTGATTGCTTCGCCATGTTTATGGTTAGGATAATGATGAGGAGGAGGAAGACTACTTCTAACCTACAAGGGGTAAGTTTACACCAAGAGAAGGAAGACAGGGCTCTGTTCTCTCCACTCCCCTCCACTCCAGCCACCCTGCGGAAGTTAAGACCGGTCAAGTGGGGACAAGAATCCCACTGAAATGCTGGGGGCCCCGGCCCAGCTGCGTGCTATACCCCCACGGGTATAAGCTTTGAACTCCGGGAATAGCAGCTGCCTCCTCTGTGGCCAGGTAAGGAGGGAGGGTGGGAAGGACCCAATTTTCGTGGATTCCTCTTACGGGCATGGCATCTCGCAAAGGGCTTTACACATTTTATTTCCTTTCCATTCGATCCAAAACTCCGAAAGGTAGGTCTAAGTATCCCCATATTTTGGATGACGAAACTGGGCTCAGAGAAGTCACAGGACCGGCCAAGGTCACACAGCCCTGAGTGGTGGAGCTAACACTCAAGTCCTAATCTTACTGATGCAGAGACAATTCTACCACATTGTGCCACTGGTGAGAAAACCATAAAGCCAACCATAATTTTTGAATGCCTGAAATTCTCCTCCAAGTCCGAGCCCTCCCAGTGCCCCTACTTCAAATGGCTGCTGGAGATATCTCTACCTGGAAGCCTACCTGGATTTCCCTGCCTTACTCTGGCCGTATGGTCTTCAGTTTTCTGCCACCAGTAGGGACATCCTGGCAGGGGCTTGCAGGGGCTCCATCTTGGCCAGGTCAGGATTAAAAATGGCTCACTGAGGGATTGTCTCAGAAACCTGACACTCCCAGGAAACACCCTGAAGGAAGGGCCGAGAGCCAAACCTCCCCAGGAATCAAAGCTAATTTCCAGTTGTTTAGGAGGTAGCTTCTCAATGACTCATCGTTTGGTTTCTTGTGATCCAGGCCAGGAGCCAGGGGCTGCCAGGAGGTACCCTCATTAAAATCAAAAGGCAATGGTGAGCGCAGGAGAGCCCCCTCTCTGGAGACCATGACTCACGGAGGCTGCGTGCTCCTGGCCAGGCAGACCTGCCTCTCTGGCCGCCTTCCCCAAGTCTTCTTTAAATGGGGTGAGCAGAGCCCAGCACACAGAGTCCAGGAGGAGTTATTAGCAGGAACTGGGAGGGGCGGGAGGCAGGGCCACTGCCGAATGTATGTCAGTGTTCACCCCGCTTTACTCCTGTGTCAAAAACCTTTGACCCCCAAATGACTGCCTGGGATCCCTGTCGCCAGCTTTCCTGTCCCTCTCCAGGGACGCAATCCCTGACAGGGTGGGTTAAAGGAATATGGGTCGGGGCTCCGTCCTGTCCTCCATGTGAGACCCAGCCTCCTCCAGAGGAGTCTGGAAAGGAGGCCAACACCAGGCCCCAAGTCAACTCCTGAAGGGGGGAGGCCATATGCTCAGGGCCACAGCATTACTTTTGTCATGGGCCCTGGGTACTTTTGCTTTTGTGAGCCTTTTTTCTTCATAAAAATAAGTAAATAAATAAGTAAAAAGCAAATGTTAGGACCTCATTGGTCTAGAGACAAATCTAATCCCAACTGGATTATGCTCATTGTTCTCTTCTGACTTTTAAAGAAATTAAAACATTTTGGAGGCCTCTACAGGAATCATGGGCATGAGGCACCGTGCCTACTGTCAGCAATTAGCTAAGCCCTTTGAACCTCCTGGCCCAAATCCTGGCTCATCACGTACATAGGTGTGTGCCTCTGTTTGCCTCTCCGTAAAATGGGATCATAACACTCATGCCATAGGGCTATTTGAGGACTTCTTGAGAGACTGCCTGGGAAGGGCTTGGCGCAGTCCTGGTGCAGAGTGAGTCCTCGGTGCAGGCTGCCCGCTCAGCTGCATTTGAGCTTCCCAGCCCTTCATGAAGGAGGCAAGGTTGGGATGCCCTCTATGCCCATAATACAGACAGGAAAACCTGAGCAGGGGAAATGACCAGCCCATGGCCATGTAATAAGTGGTAGAATTAAGACTCCAAGGCCACAGACCAAGCAGCTCTCAGACCTTGGACATTGGTGGAAGCGGCTGGTCAAGTTATCCCAGTCAGAGACCAGGAACAGGGAAGGCAGGGGCAGGAGGAAGTCACAGGCCACTGACAGGGGTGTCTTGCTTCCAGTTCTGCCTGAGTGTGCCCAAGGGAGGGGGCAGCGATCAGCGGATGAGTCACTGTGAGTCCGTGACCAGTGCGACTTTAAAATTTCTGACCACAACAGACCCGGGCCCTCTCCTCCATGCCTTTGACAGTGAGGACAGCAGCTCTCCCTGGGGGACGAGCTGGACCAGGGGGGCTTCTGTCTCTCTGGCCCAGCCCCTAAGGTGACATCAAGGAGAAGGAAGTTTCCTGTCCATGCTGGAATGTGGGTTTTCCAGCTGACTCAGAGCCTGTTTCTCCAGCAGCCACACTACCCCACGGCTCAAGAATTTGGGGAGACAGAATTCACATCTGGGGTCATTTTTGCAGCTTGTCAAACAAGTAGGAGCCTGCCCAGGAAAGAACAATAAAGAAAAGTCCCTAAGGTCAGCCTTCGACCCCTGGTGTTTTGCCGATGGTCAAGCTTCTCTCAGTGTTCTCCCTCTGGGTGACACAGAGGCTGGGGGGTGAGGCAAGGGGTGGGAGCAGCCAGCGGCGGGGGAACAGGACGGACTTGGTACTTGGCACTCCCAGGCCACGTGAACTTGAGTTTCTCAGCCTTCCTGGGCCTCAGTCACTGCATCCGTAAAATGGGGGTAAGAAAAAGGTATCGAGAAGGAAAAGCGCCCAGCACGGCCTCTGGCTCAGACCTCGGTCCGAAGGAGCTGGTACGGTGATTTCTGAAAAGGGTAGGTGACTGGGGGTGGGGTGGGGGGCGGCAGTGAGAACAAAGAGCCACGGGTTGCCCCCCTCCCCAAGCTGCCTGGAAGCAGAGCCCCAGGCCGGCCCCTCCCCTGGGAACTTGGCCAAAGTGTCAGACCTGGAAGTATCATTGCGTCACTGAGCATTAAGGGGTTAATGATGGGGAGTGGACAGGGCCCCTGTATTTAACGAATTGAGGAGGTGCCCTGAGGTCAGAGGTGCCTCTGCTCTCTCCCTTCTCCTGCAGCCCGGCTCCTGTACCCCTGCTCACCTCTCCTGTCCCCAGGATGCAGCCTCCCCCTCTTCTGACCTTCCTTTGCCTCCTGGGTAAGTGACCTTCGTGACTTTCACCCTTCCTCCTTCCCAGCTGGGAACCTGAGCTCCCTGGAGGCCCCTGAGTCTGGCCCTGGGGAGGATGTGGTGGGTCACCCTGAGGTCACTTCTGCTTGAGCCAGCAGTGACCATTGGAGAGGGGGAAGAGGGAGGAAGGACGCAGTCTAGGTAGGCCGGGGGACATGGGAAAGGGGCTGGCAGGGACCCCAGACAGCACACGCGAGGGCTCCTGCCACGATGCTTCACCTCCGCCCCAGCTCCCATTTCTGGAGGGATTTGGAGGGATTCTGGGAAGTCCAAGTGGTCAAGAAGTCTAGCCAGTGGCATCTGATGAGACTCAGTGGGGACAGGGTGCTTCTGGGGGTCGGGGCTGACACCGGGGGAGGCATCGGGGATCTTTAGGAGCCATTTGGGGAGCAATGGGGGGCATTCTGGGAGGTGATAGAGGAGAGTGGGAGGGGCGCTGGGTGCCCGGACATGATGGGGGTGAGACGGGGGGATCCAGGCGACAGGGATGTCACAGAGACATTATTAGTCAGCACTGCTGCCAGCAGCGAGGTGCTCGGGTGGGTGAGGTTAACTGGACAATCCGAGAGATGTCTGCACTCAGATTGGAGGGGACCTCAGGGGACCCTCAGAGATCTGACGGCCTCTGCCCTCCCTCTCTGCAGTGGCCCTGGCTTGGGGGAACCTGGTCCAGTTTGGGGTGATGATCGAGAAGATGACGGGTAAGCCGGCACTGCAGTACAATGACTATGGCTGCTACTGTGGCATCGGTGGCTCCCACTGGCCAGTGGACCAGACGGACTGGTGAGCGGGCAGCGCGGCTCGGGGACCTCCCTGGGGGATGGAGGAGCTGGGAGAGTATCTGGGAGGAGGGAGGAGCGGGGGACGTCTAGAAATTGGGGGCTAACGTCTCCTTTAAGCCTCTTTGAGCCCTGGACCCCTGGGCTCCAGTCCCTGGTGACACTTCCAGGTGCTGCCATGCCCATGACTGCTGCTATGAGTGCCTGGAGAAGCTGGGCTGTGAACCCAAACTGGAAAGGTATCTTTTCTCTGTCAGCAGGAGTGACATCTTCTGTGGTAAGTAAACAGGCCTAGAGTGCCCCAGGCACTGGGGATGAGGGGGTGGGGGGGTTGG